GATATATGTGTATATATGTACATGTATATAATATGTAATATGTTGGCCTCTAAAAATATGTCTGTATTTGGTATCCTTCAACTTATGAAACTTATTGTTTATGATTAAATGTTGTAAAAAACCTTGACATAAAATGTGAATTTGTGCTATAAATGTAATTTGAAATAGACATAATACATGAAGACCTGAATTTACTTTGTACTGATAAAATATCGGGGGCACGCGGTAGCGTAATTGTGTGAGCCGGCTACAAGCCGGAAGGTCGCGGGATTGAATCCCGATGAGGTCGTTGGATTTTTTTTCAGTTCATCTAATCCTTCCAACAGCACTATGTCCCGGGGGTCGACTCAACCTCTAACAGAAATGAGTACCAGGAATATTCTTGGAATGTTCTTGAGGGTAACGGGCGGCCAGTGCATAGGGCTGACAGCCTTGCCGCCATCTATGAGCCGATTGTCTAGAAAATGTGGGAATCTCAACATCTCACAACCCTATGGGCCTCCACGGCCCGTTACAGGGATACCTTTACTTTTACTTACTTACTGATAAAATATCAGATAAAAGTTATGAATATTAATGAGGTCAGTTAGACATTTCATGTGCAGGTAACCTTGTTTAAGAAAGATGATAACATCAGTTTTTTCCGTAGACACTACCTGTGGTTCTTACCGTTCAGCCTTTTTACTGAATATTAACAACATAGCACATGCTAGAAAGTACACTTTGATTTCGTTTAGCACGAGTAAGACCATAGTTCAACCGAGTATTCATGTATGCAAAGCCTTCAAGTTGTGGGATAGTGTATGTCAGACTTATTTACTGAATGTCTGAACATTGGTCACCATGTGAAATTAAAAGTTGTACCTGGTGATAAATGTCAGAATTGCAGGCTCTATGGATCTAATGCCATATACGTAGTTGGTGGGCGGGTACCAGTATCCTGGCGGAACCTGCTGTCTCTATCTTCCCAGAAGGCCATAATCTTATCAGTTTTGATTACTTATGACGCAAAATGATAATTCAGAATTTCAAAATTAAGCAAGAGTTTCCAAGAAAAATTTCACCAGACTTTAACAAACAACGATTTCCAAAAATTTATTAGTTGTTTTAAGGATCTATAGAGATATCTTCAAATGTTGATCTTAATTGTGTATTCTAGGAAATGTGTTTAACTTCATGGTGCTCTGTTTGATTTGCTTAATATTTATTATAAAGATTGCTAGTATGTGAAAGGTATTCAAGAGTGAAATAAATTCTTATTTCAATATTTTATGTGAGCTCGGATAGCCCAGTCAGTAAAGTGGGCTAAATGACCAGTGTTTGAGTCCCAGCAGAGATGGGGTTTTCTCTTTGGTTCCACAGCTTCCTGTTCAGTGGATATAAGGGGTGGGGGCACTTTTGCCCAGAGCAAATCAGCCAGAACATGAAGCTTACTACTTACTTTTGCCTATCATTGAAGTTTCAGCATGCATAGAAATCAACTTCCACTCTCCCCTCTTTATAGCATGGTACTTAAACGCAAGGAGAGCATTAACTTTTATAGTTTTATATAAAATGAAGATATATGAAATGTGTTGTTGTGGTGTTAGCATGCTCTGCCTCTTGACGAAAACATTTCACTATGCAAACAAAACATTTAGGCATGTGTGAATCTAAGATTTTAATTTAGAGAAAAGTATATCATGATCCTAATTTGAACATAAATTTTTCAGTTTCAAACTTTGGGAATTTTGAGGTGCATGCTTTTGCTTTGCATAGTAGCATACACACTGCTTGTTCCATTAGAATCACAGTGGTTGGCAGTAAAAAGTAAAGTTGTCCCTGTGCTCAGTGAATTAAGCACTACGCTATGAAGTCGTATGGTGTAATTAATATATAGATCCACATTTTCTTGACCTCAGCAGTAGCTGGAGATGAGTGGTCAGTTTCATGCCCCTGCCATTTTACCCCTGGGGAAAGAGCCTGCGGTACCCATTGGATAGGAGGTTGGGTGGACCCCAGAGCCGGTCTGGACGATTTGGAGAAAATTCTTGACCCTACCGGGACTCGAACTCCGACCCCTCCATCCTCCAGCAGTGGTTGGCAGTATCAGCACAAATTAGCATGTCAACAAAATCTGTAACTCTCTTTTCCTCACCCTGGTTCTGCCCATGGTGAAAGGGCATGGCCCCAGAATCAGATCATTTTAAATACAATAATAACGAATGAACATTCTACATTGAAAAGGGATATGGTATCAGATTGAGTAGTACACTTCAGTGCATTGTGAAGAAGTGGTTAGCTTTATAGCTTGTGATTGCAGTGAACAGTAGTGAAGTTTATGGCTCTTATCTCAGTTCTCAAACGTTTTCCAAAGTCTCATCTGGATCTCTGGGGCCCACCTAGCCTCCTGTCGGTTGGGTACCTGTGGGGTAAAGCAGCAGTGGCGTGAAGCTGACCACTCACCTCCAACTAGTGCTGAGGTCAAGAAAATGTGGATCTATACACCCACTCCCCCATATATCTTTGTGGCGTAGTGATTAATTAGTTAAGCACAGAGACAACTTTACCTTTTTTTACCTCATCTGCGTATCAATTTGAACCAAAAAGCCATTCTTGCACATGTCTAAGATGTTCTTGTCCATCTTATGTCTTTGGGTTTCTTCCAGAGTTTTATACTTTATAGACATTTAACTTTATAGGAATTTTCCTGGTTTTGCTCAGTATCTGAATGCTTGCCTTGCAGTTGGTAGGTACAAATTTTGAATTTCTGTCTTATGATTGGCTGACCCAGGGATGGCAAAATATGGCTCATAGAAAAATTAATTTTGGCTCAGTTGTGTGAAGTTCTTTCCTCTGACATTAAGGGAGGAACATAGACTGAGGGTGTTTGAGAACAGGGTGCTGAGGAGAATATTTGGACCGAAGAGAGATGAAGTGGCAGGAGGTTGGAGAAAACTGCATAATGAGGAGCTTCATAACTTGTACTCTTCTCCAAGTATAATTAGAATGATCAAGTCAAGGAGGATGAGGTGGGCAGGGCATGTAGTATGAATGGGTGGAGAAGAAGAATGCATATAGGATGTTGGTGGAAAAGCCAGAAGGAAAGAGACCACTGGGAAGACCAAAGCATAGGTGGGTGGACAATATTAAAATGGATGTTAGAGAGATAGGATGGGATGGTATGGATTGGATTTATCTGGCTCAGGATAGGGACTATTGGAGGGCTCTTTTGAACACAGTAATGAACCTTCAGGTTCCATAAAATGCTGGGATTTTCTTGAGTAGCTGCAGAATTGGCGGCTCCTCCAGAAGGGCTCAGCTCCATAAGTAAGTAAGTAAGTAAGTAAATAAGTACGTAAGTTGTGTGAAGTTTATTATAGCCCTTGGTGGGTGTAGCTAGAAAGTTTGGAGAAGTGGATACTACTGATGTTATTTGTTGCAGGTTTTCTGGATGAGTTGCATTGCCTGCAAATATCATTTTCTTTGGATGGTGTTGATCGCTTGATACGGTCACATGGACACACTTTACACGACATCTTTATCCTGAGAGAGGGAACATTTGAACGGATACCAGACATAGTTGCATGGCCAGGTGAGGCAATATTGTAGGTATGTGCTTTGTAAAAGTACACAGAGAAGTTGAGAAACCTGTTAATGTGGAAAACAAACAAAGCAGTAGGTTTGTTGAACTGTATGCTGTGAAAGGCTCTCCACTTTAAACACTGCTGAGCTTTCAGATATAATGTTTGGGCAGCACTTCACGTCCTAACCAAGGCTGCATAGTAAAGTTATTTGTTGTCATTATGTACAGACTTGGAAAAATTTTGTCTATGTGAAATTATATTCTCCTTGAGAAAAAATTGTGTGGTTTGTAAGTCTTATTTAAATAGATTCGTCCTATATTCAAAGACACATTACTTGTTATGCAATTCATGTTATTTGAGAGAGATTTTGCCTTCAGCTAACAATTTACAGAATTTCTGTCTGAAAGCTCTTGAATAGCTTTAAAAAAATAAGAAATGGGTAACTGCATTCATTGAACGAAGAAGCATTCACATACTATTGAGATAAAAGTAATCATACTTAGTGTTATAGTATATCACATTTCATTTCAATTTAAATAAGTGATTGTCTTTTACTGTTAAGTACTTTCAACAAAATACAGATCGTTTTTGTTCTTTTTTCTTTCCCTTCATTGTTTCATTGACATTGTAAGGATTGTACTTCATTTTGTTATAAACCACTTCTCTTTCTTCTCTCACTTCTATACACTTAAATTTACTCTGAAGTTTTATATATTGCATAATTAAATATTAACTTCTTTAATGTGAGTCCAGCTTAGAACTTCATATGATTCATATAGTACCACTTTCAGTAGTTCAGATTCATTCATCAGTAATCTGTCATACGACAGGTCCACGGTCTCTTCCAAAACAGTTCCTCCACTTAATGCGATCTAGAGCTTTCTCCTTCAAATAAAGATATCCTCTTCTGTTCCCAAAGTCATCCAGCATCTTCTTACATCGTTTTTCTTCTGGTTGCATACATGGTATCTCTGTCTTTGGAAAGAGACTATCCAGGAAAAGTGATAATGTGGTAGTTTTTCCATTTGCTTTCAACATCGCAGTACAACAGCCGTTCAAACCACTCTGGTCACGTCTGTCGCTATGCGAACTTGAACCATCTCTAGCATCATTTGCTCTGTGCTTCAAGTCGCTGCTGATGATGCTGCTTTCGGCATCAGTTTTTGGTTTTTGGTGCCTCTTCGTCTGATGCCTACCCTTTGACCTGTCCAGCAAGGGAGGCCCTGCCAGTAGCTGTGCTACCGCTGGTATAGCTCTCAGGGTCCTTGGCATACTCAAACGCCCTCACCATGATAAGGTGGAGACACCAACGAGGGGGTAATTCAGATTGTATGGCATGAAATGATAGGATGATTAGGAAATAATTAATTGGGGTTATGGCCAAATTCAAGGCGGTAACATGGAATTTGCTCAGATTGACTGAAGAAAGGTTTCATAAACCTTAGTTAGGATAGCCGATGTATGGGCAGAGAGAAGAACGTGGGACTCCCAAGTATGAAGCATCAGTTGTACCCATTAAATTGTGACATTCTGTAGATTTATGTTCTGGCTGTGCTGGCTGGCTTCCTCTGCACATACCTCCAGTGTGTAATAGATGGCCTTGGGTGGCAGACAATGGAATGTACTTGGAGAAAAGCCTGGCCCTGTGCTACTTTGTCTACCACAAAACTTACAAAGATTACTCTTAGAATGAACCTAGGACTCCAAACAGAGAAGTCACTTCCTAACTGCTAGAATTATGGCACAATATTTAAACAGAGAATTAACTTATTTTATATCTGGATGCTATGTATTCTCAATAGTGACAGTATTGTCAAATAATCGTATTATATTTGTTAATTTTTAATTTATTTGTTTGACAAGATAATGAATATTAATGGTGGGAAAATATTTACATTTATCAAATTTGCAGTCAAATCACAACAACATGCAGATGTAATATAAGTCATGACTAACATGGAAGGCCTACAGAGGAGTATTAAGACAGCCTTTATTGTGTGTAAACTTCCTTTTGGTTTTGCTGTTGTGTATATAGTGACAGTGTGATTAGCAAGAATGATTGCAGATGCAAATGAGCCCTGTTGCTCTGTAAACATGTTGTTAGAGCGTAGTAAAATTTTCAAAGTCAGTTAAGGGGAAGAGAGTATTGAGCAAAGAGCTAGTGAATGTCACAGTCAAATGGATACCACTTCTGCTTCATATTTGGGAGGTGCTGGGTTCAAATCTTAGTGGCCTGGAGACTGAGTATCCCAACTGAGCTATCTGTGGTTTTCTTGGTCCCTCCAGTCAAATGTTATGTGGGTATTTGAAATTATGCAATTGTGCTCTTTCCCATGTCATGTTCAGTTCGTTATTCTCTCACATCAGTTCAGCATGACATCATTTGGTGCTGTATGGTCTGACGTGCAGTCATCGTTAAGTAAGCCATAAAAGAATTAAGTAGCACGGAGGTTTTCCGAAAGATAAATTTTTAAATATACACTGAGTAGTATTATGTAAATATGAATTTAATCTTTGTTGTATATAATGTGGTAATTTTCAAAATACATTTACAAATGTAATGGCTATTTCAAAAATGAAAATATTCTGAACTTCCATTTATAAATACAGAACTACATTACAAGGACGGTATTTTTATGGCAGCATAATAAATACCAACCACAAATCAAAGAATTACCCACTGGAATGTTAGTACTAAGAATAAGTATATGTGGCACTATGTTGTTACTTAGATACATGCCAGCATTTCAGAGCTGATGATGGAAACAGTAGATTCATCCAAAATATTGGTCCCTGTCTATTGAACTACATGCATACCATCCCAGAGGGCTCTAATCTTAATGTGGAAGATATTTAGAATTATTCTCTTCCCCACCATATTCAAAACTTTTAGTGTGCCTAAGCCTCGTGTCCATTGGGTATACTGTTTCCTGGAGATTAAGATGGTTCTAGCAGTTTCTCTTTGTGCTTTCACCTCCATATATTTCATGAATATGTTTATTAATTAATTTCTTCCACATAAACTTTTATATTTTGGCATTCTTAAGCTTGAAACATTACAAATATGGTTACTTCAGTTATATGTCTGGAAAGAACTGCTATTATAACAAGGATAGTTGTATATATTTTATTTAGTTCCTTTCTGTACCACCCCTTTTCTTGTATGACTTATAGACCCCTATGAGGAAACATTACAGCATTAAGTCAAGTGGGGAAATGAAACTAGAATTTTCCAGCATTTTATGGAACCTGAAGGTTCATTACTGTTTTCACAAGAGCCCTCCACTGGTCCCTATCCTGAGCCAGATCAATCCAATACACACCATCCCATCCTATCTCTCTAAGATCCATTTTAATATTTTCCACCCACCTATGCTTTGTTCTTCCCAGTGGTCTCTTTCGTTCTGGCTTTTACACCAACATCCTATATGCATTCCTCTTCTCCACCCATTCGTGCTACATGCCCTGCCCACCTCATCGTCCTTGACTTGATCATTCTAATTATACTTGGAGAAGAGTACAAGTTATGAAGCTCCTCATTATGCAGTTTTCTCCAACCTCCTGTCACTTCATCCCTCTTCAGTCCAAATATTCCCCTCAACACCCTGAAACTAGAACTTAGACTAATATATCTTTTTATAGAATCTCATGATGCGGTTGTAAATCTGGTACAGCTTGCTGAGAAGCACGACATAGTTATTATTCCTTTTGGTGGGGGTACCAGCGTGTCGAAAGCAGTGTCTTGTCCCCGTGAAGAGACTCGCACTATTCTGTCCTTGGACACTTCACAAATGGTATGTTTTTGGAATTAATGGCTAGACATGATAGTTTGACATGTGTGCTTCACTTCGTGGTGTATGAATGATGACATTCTTGGACATACAGTGTACTGATTATCTGGATAAATTAAGGGAAAGAGATAGAAGTATTATTCAAAATGCAGACAGTCCAAAAATTGGTTATGGTCAGGAGACGATGCCAATTGCTGAATAGAGAAATTTAGAAATGTATGTATAGAATGTGATTTGTTCAGTTATCCTGAAAACTATAAGACAAGCAGAAAAATTGAATTAAATATAAAATGCATATTTTGTGTTTCTCTCCAGTACTGTTGGAAACATTTTTTGCTCCAATATTTAGTGAGTTACACTGCAAAAACAAATGTAGGTCTTCATGTAATGTGGGTATTAAACTCATCCAGTCTGAATAAAAATGGAAGTCTATCCAATGATTTGTGAGCTGTTTCATGCATCAGAGGATTGTCTGACAGACTGAGCAAACCTAATAGTCACCCCGCAGGGTTGCGAATGCACCTGAAAGAGACAGGGTGGATGGTTAAGCCAAAAACTGGATAATCCATGCTCAGATAATCAAGCGTACACTGTATTCCAATTTTAAAATAGTCTGGATCTTAGTTGTACTTTAAATTTAATTGTAAACGATTCAAAATGTTTGACTTCTGTCAAAAAGAATGGATAACTACTGTCCTTCTCTCTACCCGAATTGAAGTTATAATTTTTGTTTTAAAATCAGCTGAATTCAAGAAACACTTTATGCCCTTATGGAAGAGAGATGTACTGATCACTGATCTTTGATGTAAACCAACCTTGCCAAATTTAATCCAGATCTGTTCCCTGGTTTAGAAGCTGGAATCTACAGGCATAGGAATTAGGATCATGACTGGGTAGTCATGATCTTACCAGGTCATTCATTACTTCCTGTATCTGTGTGTTGAATTACTGGCCTCATTCATCATAAGTTATAGACATATTTTTCTGATCTTATGGCCTATGCAGCACTGTCATGTTAAGTTTTGGAGACAAGTAAAATTAAACAAAAATTATGAGTTGAAAAAATAGAAACAGCTTTATTATGGGCTTAGTTTCTGCCATGCTGAAGTTGCCACATCAACAGACATCAAAGTTTGAGGTACAAGTAAAGTAAGTTGTCTCTGTAACAGGCCATGAAGGCCCATAGGGTTGTGAGACGTTGAGGGTCCCACATTATCTAGACAATCAGCTCAAAGATTGCAGTAAGGTTATCAGCCTTACATGCCAGCTGCACTTTACTCCCCAGGAAAATTATTTAATTAATTCCTGGTACTCATTTCTGTTAGAGGCTGAGTCGACCCCAGGGCCATAGTGCGGCTGGAAGGATTAGGTCAATTGAAAAAAATCCAATGACCTCATTGGGACTTGAACTTGCGACCTTCCGGCTTGTAGCATAGTGCCTCAACCAACTACGCTACCGCATGCCCCCTTTGACTTCAGTAATCTGAAGAATCTTATTGCTGTGTTTTGTGGCTTGTTCCAGTAGAATCGTATTTTGTGGCTGGATCAAGAAAACTTGGTCGCATGTTGTGAGGCTGGGATTGTTGGCCAAGATTTGGAGCGAGAGCTGGGTCAGCAAGGATTTACTTCTGGACATGAACCTGATTCCTATGAGTTTTCAAGGTCAGTATTATACACTGTTTTTGCCAGTTTATTACGGCCACTTTTATTGAAGTGGTGGATCGTGAAATTTGAAGTAAATCATGTGTTACATTAAATTTTCCTCTAATTTTTTAATTGATATGGGGTATCACTTCACAAGAATATCCAAGTGCATTTTTAGACATACAGAGGTAATTAAATAATTCAAAACGATCTTGAAAGGTTTTGGTTCAACAGGAGAATCTATTAAGCTTAGGACTCCAAAAATACATTTTTATTTTCATCTGTGATGATTGAGGAATTACGATATATAGTTGGTGAGCAGAAAGTCATTATATGCTGCATGTATTGAGTACGCATTATGCGCACAGGCGGAAGAAAAATTTGCGCTTATGCTGGAAATTTTGTACTTATGGTGTTTGATTATCCTAAGATAGTTTCAGAGATATTAACTTGAAATTGATCAGGTGTTCTCTGCTGTCATAATTTCATAACGTATCATGATATGATGTTGAGTAATTGGTTTCATGTTCAGCTTGGGTGGCTGGGTTGCCACACGGGCATCCGGAATGAAAAAGAATGTGTATGGCAACATTGAGGACCTTCTTGTACATGTACGCATGGTGACTCCTTCTGGGGTTCTGGAGAAAAGCTGCCAAGTGCCCAGAATGTCATGTGGTCCAGATTTCAATCACGTAATTCTTGGATCGGAAGGTTTGTTGTTTGACTTCCAGCATTTATATTCTATACTTCAGTAAGGGACGTGGCCTCCAAATCCAGATTTTCTCAGCCAATGTGTTATTCCTTTTAAGTTCAGTGTTTCCACTGAATTTAGTATTACAATTGTTACTATTGCTGCTACTACCACCAGTACTACTGCTGCTGCTACTAATACTAGTGCTGGAAACTTGATATCTTGTTCAGTATGGTAACCAAGTTGTTGGCTGTACAACTGGGAGATCAGGATTTGATTTTCGAGAGGGGCAAGAGTATTTTCACTTCACTGTCGTGTCCATACCAGCTCTGGGGTCCATCCAGCCTCCTATCCAACAGGTACTGGGGGGCTCTTTGCATGGAGTAAGGTGGCTGTGGCATGACGCTGACCACTCACTTTCTTCTGATGTCAAGATTAAGAATGTGTGAGGCTGCAGTTCCATTGTCCTGTGTCTCATCATGGCATGGGGAGAACTTATGATGAAGTCCCTCGTATTAGCCTATTGCATAAACTTCATAACTTTGGCTATCAGAACACCATATTGCCTTGTTCCAAAGCACTTTATCATCCAGATTGTAATTTGTTCCGCAATTTAGGGATGCTTTCTGCACCTTCTCCTATGCTTTCACGAGTGCCATTTTAGTTGTTTAGTATGTTTATTACTTGATTTATTTGCCAGAATTCATTTTTACAGGCTTCTGTTATTTGCTGTTTGTGTGAAAATGTGTAATGTTATAAAGGTCAGGTGAAGATTGTTAATTACTACAATCTCATATCGATATGGTGCAATAGTGGTGTATTGAAAATCATAAGAAAATTAACATCCTTGAAACCAATATAATTTTTTTCTTTGTAATACTAATTAATTTCGCTTAGTGGGGGATGGAGTCCAACTGGGTCCGCTCAGCATGGCCTATTGTAGCTTGCCCTGGGTGATTATGATGATGGAGAATTTGGTGGAATGAAGATTGGCAGGGGAAACCGAAGTACTCTGAGAAATCCCGTCCCAGCGCCACTTTGTCCACCACAAATCCCACTTGACCAGACCCTGGGATTGAACCCGGGCTTCCGCAATGGGAAGCCACCTTGTAAGACTAACTATATGCATTTTAATTACTGTGTTGTTGATGTTTTAGTTGTATGTTCAGATTGTGTAATTTGCTGGTAATGGTGGCAACAGAGCTAGGGCAGTGGCAGTGGTGGTGGTAATGATAATAATATTACTCAGTGGAGGTGGTTAAAGGGTAACACTATCCCTGTAACATGCTATGGAGGCCCTTAGGGTTGTGAGAGATCGATACTCCCACAGTTTCTAGACAGTTGGCTCACAGGTGGTGGTGAGGTCAGCTTTATGGACCAGCTGCCCTTAACCCCCAGGAAGATTCCTGGTATTCATTTTTGTTAGACGCTGAGTCGACCCCATGGCCATAGTGCGGCTGGAAGGATTAGGTCAATTGAAAAATCCATTGGCCTCATTTGGGAAACAAATCCATGACCTTCTGGCTTGTAGCATAGTGCCTCAACCAACTATGCTATTATGTACATACCTCATTGTAGGTGGTTAGTTACATAATTATTTGTGTATTCACATTCTGATTTTCTTGATGTTCAACATCTGTTGGATCACTTACACAGGTAGAAGTACTGCTTATAATAACAAAAATGTTCACAATCATTTGTTTCTACTCTTTAAGGAACACTGGGAGTGATTACAGAAGTGATAATCAAGGTGCGTCCATTGCCACAGTGCAAAAAATATGGATCTATTGCATTTCCAAACTTTGAATCAGGGCTACTGAGCATGCGCGAGGTCGCAAAACAGGTGAGACACAAAAACTCTAAAGTTTTAATTATGGAATATGGAGAGAAGATTTATCCACAATGTATGAGTTGCAGCACATGTATAGAGTCAGCAGCAAACATGCTCAGTTGTAGTGATTCCACAATAATAGCACTTTGCCTAGATCCAAAAATGTTATTAAAAAATTCCATTGGAAAGAGAAACAATAAATAAATATTAATTAGAAGTTTGAGTGGGGATAAAAACCTGTCATATGAAAAAGTAATTTGTTAAACATTCCTCAGAGAAATCCAGAAATTTGACAGTTAAAGCTGGAGTTTGTTGGTGACAGAAACAAACCTTCAGGTTCCATAACAGAAATCAATGGTTTGATTTTATAATACCAGAAGTGAATGTAACAACATTTAATATAACGAGAGAACTGTTTTAATTCGACACGAATGAATGAGTGAATACATAATGGAGAGGCCTAGACCAGCCCTCTAACTGCATTCTTCAATAATTTGATATTAAATACATCTGCCTTGAATGTTGGAGGGACACATGTTAAAGCTGTGCTTAACTAGGGCCTAACAACATCTTCTGAACCAAGTTGACAGGAATATGTATCAGGATCAAACATCGTGAATAAGGTACATTTCTGCAGACCAAATTATAAGATGTTTTCAAACAAAGAAGATGAATATAAACGTGTTCATATAGACCAGGATGATATAGGAAAAGCAGGACATGTGTATGATAATAGCAACAGGTAGGCATTGTCATTTTAATCTAGGTTTCAGCAAGGACTACATTGGTATTTTAAAGTATTTAGATGATGTTATAGCTATGGTAGCCCTGTCAGTGTAGTGACTGTGCTACAGACTAGGTGACCGAGGAGTTGAGGTTCAATTCCCAGTAAGGGCAAGAGATATTTGTCTTCTCCATAATGTCCAGACCACTCCTGTGGCCCATGTGGCATCCCATGCAATGGGTACCCGGGGGATGTTTCCCAGAGGGCAAAGCAGCAGGGGCATGAGGTTGACCGCTCACCTCCATCTGGTGCCAAGGTTAAGAATGGTGGGAGCTATACCTGCACTTCCCCCTATGTCCTCACAGAGTGGTGCTTCATTAATTAAGCCTAGGGGCAACTTTACCTTTTATATAGATTTTACATCATAATTTTATGGGAAGATGTTGATTGTGCCTACAGTTTTCATTTAGGAGGCAATAGGCAGTGTGCAATATACTTAAGACAGTAAGTTGCTTATGAGATATTGGTCTATTCGGACTGAAACATATATCTCAGTAGCACACAGAAATTGAGTGTTGTGTAAAAATTCATGTTAACAATAACTAGGAATTTGGGGGCGGGGGTCATCTGGTGAAAACACTGAAGGGTTTACTGTCTTTACAGAACACAATATAATAGCATTGTGGTTGTCTTCAGAGGTTATTTCTGTTGGAAAAAGTGGAATTCAGTTACAGATGTCACCTGTTCTGTTTCATGTCCCAATGTTAAATTCTCTGTGAAGGTACTTTAATAATGAAAAAATATTGTGGAAGTAACATAAATAAATCTTGTGATATATTTTTCATTGAATAAGAGGTCAAGTTAAAACGTTCAGAACATCCCAGAAGACACTAACCTTTTGAAGGTATCCACTATCAGACAAAAAAGGTAATAAATATTAACATGGATCTTAGAGAGCCAAGTAGAGAGAATGTGAAGTAGACAGTGCTGACTCAGGGTAGGACAAAAAGTGATGGTATTTTGTGTTAGGCAAGTTGCACCTTATGAGTTTATTAGCAGACATATTTATATGAGCATTCCTGTTATTCTCATTTCAGAGATGTCAACCAGCGTCTATCAGGCTCATGGACAATGAGCAGTTCAAGTTTGGGCAGTCACTGCGACCTGTGCCGGGCTATTTTGGTCTCTTGCTGGATGGTCTCAAGAAGATATACATCACCAAGATAAAGGGATTTGATGTAAACCAGATGTGTGTGACCACTTTGGTATTTGAAGGTACCTGTGTAAGAATTTGTTAATATCCCTGTGTGTAATTAAGCCCCACTCTGTGAAGAGTGGCTGTTTATTTCCATGCATTAATAACTTTGGTGCAAGATGAAGCTAAATCAACCTCAGACTATGATTGCTTAACCCCTGGGATAAGAACCTGATGCCCATTAGACAGGAGACTAGGTGAACCCTCAGGGCCAGTCTGAATGTTGATCTCTTGATCTGGCCTGGAATCAACCCCCTGTTTCTCAATTATCAAGTCCATAGCCCAGTCAGTATACCAACTTAGCTACCCCAGCTACAACACAATGTTAATTGTGACAAGGATTCACAAAGATGTTGGTGTTCATTACAGGAAAGTATGCCAAGATTTACAGATTTAGAATCAGTTTTTAGCAGGTTTTTTTATTTTTTTAGAATAAATATTGTTGTGGTCTCATCATGTCCATATGCCTCTCCTGCTCTGTAATACTTTGAAAAGAGTTGACAGACTTTCATGAAATGGAATGTGGACATCATACAATTGAAGACCACTCCATTTTGTACATTATAATCTCTTAATATCAGTAATACTAATGTACCTGTAAGGTTGATTCAACACTTATAATGCACTACTGAAATTCTGTATGAGAGGGTTTGAGTATGCCAAGGACCCTGTGAGCTATACCAGCGGTAGCGTAGCTACTGGCAGGGCCTCCTTTGCTGGACAGGTCAAAGGGTAGGCATCAGACGAAGAGAGACACCAAAAACCAAAAACTGATGCCGGAAGCAGTGTCATCAGCAGCGACTTGAAGCACAGAGCAAATGATGCTCGAGATGGTTCAAGTTCGTATAGCAACAGGCGTGACCAGAGTGGTTTGAACGGCTGTTGTACTGCGATGTGGAAAGCAAATGGAAAAACTACCACATTATCAATTTTCCTGGATAGTCTCTTTCCAAAAACAGAGATACCATGTATGTGACCAGAAGATGAGGAAACAGACATAAGAAGATGCTGAATGACCTTGGGGACAGAAGAGGATATTTTTATTTGAAGGAGAAAGCTCTAGATCACATTAAGTGGAGGAACTGTTTTGGAAGAGACTGTGGACCTGTCGTATGACAGATTACTGATGAAATGAAATTATTCCTGAGCCGGTCACAGTAGCTGAGCGGTCTAAGGCATGCACTGTCTTCGCTCGCTTGGAAACTGTGATCGTGGGTTCGAATCCCATTCAAGGCATGGATGATTAGTTTGTGTGTGTGTGCGTTTTTCTGTGTTTGTATACAGGTAGAGGCCTTGCGACGAGCTGATCACCCGCCCAAGGAGTCCTACCGAATGTGTAAGATCTAGAAAAACCGAAGTGAACGGAGAAGTTCATGGAGGTAGGCCTAGGCCCACTGGGGCTGTAGTGCCAAGGAAAAAAAATGATTCCTGAAGAAAATATGTGTGGAAAGTAAATGTTTTCTGTTACATTATTTTGTAGTGGAATGTTAAATGACAACATGGCAGTGTGAAGTATAGATTTGGCTTTTAGTTTGATGTTTGTAACTAATGAGCCATTTGAGCTGGATAAGTAAAAGTGTATGGAGATACGAACATGCATATAGATCTAAAGCGAACTATATGTATACCGGTATAACAATTATAAATATAATGACGGAGCAAACCTTTGAGAATAGGCCTCTATCCAACAAATTTCACATTGTCATTACCTGGGGTCATGTGAACATGGTAGTGGACCTTCAGGTTCCATAAAATGTTGGGAAATTCTTGAGTGTCTGAGCAACTGTTCGCTTGTCAAGAAGTGCCCACCTTCAAGGAGTTAGTCTTGTAACTTCTCCATCCAGAACCATTGTCTGTTTTATACACTGGGAAGTGCGGTACTTATTTTGATGGTTTTATAAATATGTATAATCATTGACCAAAAGAACGATATCAGAAGTGCATGGTTTTTACTCAGAGTTTTCTTGAAGTAAACTGTACTGAAATCATTGAATTATCTTTTATGATAGTTTTATGAATATACAGTTTAGTATTCCTCAAGTTGACTGTTTTCACCATTTAATGTTCAGTTTAAATGATACCATTTCAGTAAACGCAGTGTTAACTTACTTTTGTGTAAGGGTTTCCTCACTTTAGTGCTCAAACCTACTGCTCTGAAACAACATTTTAAGTGAGGGTTTCACTATATATTCCTGTTGATCAGCGTTGTGTTATCTATAACAGTGTAATCACATAGTGATTGCTTTATGCATTGACTGATGTTTAAGAAATATATCAGCAGTAAAATTGATCACTTATGAATATGCATAAAGCAGTTGTGACCTATGAAACTAGTGGGTGTAGATTTTAGTTTTGTACCATAATATAATACTGTTCCCAGTGGGTGCTGCAGTAGGTTAAGGCAGGTCAGAGCAACAACAGTAAGTGCTGGATTTTTGTACTTTGTCATCACTACAAAAGACATCCTATAGTAATTTAAATGATTTTAGTGATGACAGCCTCAAGCTGTGGCTGGTTTTGTGTGCCTTTTTGTTATTGTAAGCAATACTTCCGCTTGTACAGGTGATCCAAAGGATGTTGAACATCAGGAAAAGAAGATTTATGATATTGCAGCACAATATGGTGGAATTCCAGCGGGAGAAGCAAATGGAGAACGAGGCTACATGCTTACATTTGTGATTGCCTATATTCGAGTAAGTGTTATGTAAGGCACAATAGAGCACTGTGGTCTTGGTGCAAGGGCCAAGAAGGCCCACCCCTTATACATTCATTCATTCAAGTGTTATGTAGGCTCTGGGTTCTTATTATTTATTCTTGCAGTCATACACTCAGTTTGTATTTAATTATTAATTAATTTTAATGGTGATCACACAGAAATATATATTGTAACGTGTTTCCACTACTGATCCCACTTCTGACACCTTCCTTTCTTCCTTCTCGATCCTGACGCGTATCCTTCGATCTCGATACACGTTACAATATATATATCTTTATGGTATAATTTTATGCTGCATGTTTTGGCCTTCACTGTATCATCATCAGATTTGTTAAATATATTTATCTGTTAGTTACTATAGGATTCTGATGATGGTGTATAACACAGTGAGATACTGGGTTTAGTTATCTTAAAAACCAGGACGATGGATAAAGCCTGAAAACCCAATATCTCAGTATATATATATATATATATATATATATATCTACAGTATGCACTAAATCTATGTAGCATTGAAGGAAACAATTCAGGGATGATCAACCTTGTAAATTATAAATAATTGCATGGAGTTGGTTCATTTGTTTGTAACATTCTGTTTAGTGGATGACACAGTACTATAGGCAATCAACTCACTGAGACATAACTACAACTAAACACTTTGGGTAATTTCAATAGATAATGTACTGTATATATATTGATGTTTCCATAAAGTTTCAATTTTAATGTACACAGAACATTTCATTCATTCATCAGTAATCTGTCAGACGACAGGTCCACAGTCTATGCCAAAACAGTTCCTCCACTTAATGCTATCTAGAGCTTTCTCCTTCAAATGAGAATATCCTCTTCTGTCCCCAAGGTCATCCAGCATCTTCTTATGTCTTTTTCCTTGTCTTCTGGTCACTTCTATCTGCCCCTCTATCTTTCCTTCAATAACTTCTTTTAGAAGGCAGTTACTGTGAAGATATGACCAATCCAATTAGCCTTCTGTTTTCTTATTTTGTGTACGATATTCCTGTGCTCACTGACTCTAAATAACACTTCTTAATTTCTCAACAGAACATTTATTCCAATAAAAATCCTAATTTAATACCGTTTTCAACATTAATCCACTTTTTTTTTCTCATGGCCTCGTGCCCCCATCCCGACCCAGTTTTCGGAAGCACCGCTGTGTAGTTTGAGCAACTGACAGCACTGTTTAATAAACTGTAAGGAATGAACTGGATCATGATAAGAGTCCAGTGGTGGGCTTCTGCGAATCCGGTAGTGAACCATATAAAAGCATAGAATTACTTCAGCAGCTGTCAACTTTAAAAGGAAGTTTCTTGCTCCAAGGAGCCTTGTGGCTTGTGAATTCAGTCCATTTATGAACTTGACAGATGAGCTGACAGAAAGATAAATGACATGTAACCTGAAATGTGATGATAAACTGTTAATGTTAATAAAATTGCCAATTCCATGTGACTTATAGAATGAACAAATAATTAAAATACTGACATACCTATTTGTTACAGGATTTGGCCATGGAATATAATATTGTTGGAGAATCATTTGAAACTTCAGTTTCATGGGATCGTACACTGTCATTGTGCAACAACGTTAAACATCGGTTAAAAAAGGAATGTGAAGGTAATTATGAATATTTTTGTAATCGTCAATTTAATCGATTTTGATGTTAGTAGTTCAGGGGATTTAGTTTTTATGAGGAAACTAAATATAAAATGAAATTTGTCAGTAGTAAATATAACTAGAAAATATTAGATTGGTGAGCACTGTATCGAGGAAAATCTGATTTGTGTTTATTTGCTCGTGTTATTCCCATGTTTGTGACGTTTACTACAAACAGTAAAATTAAGACAGGATTTGTAATCATGTTTATAATCTGTCACTCTGCTCCGTTTCTCAAGTTTCATGAAGTATTGTCATAAAGTCAACGGTTATAGCCTGTTAGTTTTACCATGTCTGGTTGTATGTAGTAATGTAACTGATCCGCCACTTGCAAAATATTTATCAGGGCATAAAATGTATCAACCAAAGTTGTGGAGAAAAATAAACATTTTATACCTAACACCTATTAAGTTATCTGTTTACAAGATACACAAAAAGAAAACAAAAATGCAAGAACTATTATGATGTTTGTGTATTTCCTAACTTAGAGCCCTATATGTTCATCAGTCAGCATATGATTGGTGCCTTTCATGAGCTCAGTCCTCTTACTGTGTAGCATGGTCACAAGAATTTTCACCCATTTTGATAAAGATAAGAGAGATCTCTGCTAACTACTAACTACCTAAGTAAATGGAGTAACTCCTCCTTGAGAAACTAGTAGTTGCTACCTAGAAAAGAAATTACCATCATTTTATGGAATCAAATGTTTCATTATCATGGTCACAGGAGCCACACGAATCTTGTCATGTTTTCCCATCCTGTTTCCATATTTTAATATTATCTTCCCATTATTGCTTAGGTCTGAAAAATTGTCTCCATCTGCCTACCAAAACAGTGTATGCATTTCTCTTCTGTCACATGCATGCGACATGCCGCACCTGTCTTATCTGTATTTATCTGATCTAATGATATGTAGGGAGAAGGATGAATTACAAAGTTTCTCTTGTAATTTTCTCCAGCATCCTGCTACTCCCGCCCTCTTAGGTGCAGATATTCTCCTCAGTGCTCTGTTCTCAAATGCCCTCATGTCAATGGTACAGTAAATTATAATTTTGTGTAGTACATCCTAAACAGCAGACAAAACTGCTGACATAATATAAAAATTACATATAAAATATTGTTTGAACTCTTAGATTGTTTTTCCATCAAGCATCCATGTTTTGACTGATTCCTTTCCAGCTGCTGGCATCCGACACTTCATGATCTCTTGTCGAGTGACTCAAACATATGATGTGGGTAGTTGTGTATACTTCTATTTTGGATTCAAGTGGAATGGCGTTGGTAACCCTGTTACTACTTATGAGCATCTGGAAGAGTTAGCTCGTGATGAGATATTGGCTTCAGGAGGTAGTCTTTCACATCATCATGGTGTTGGTAAATTGAGGATGAGGTGGTTCCCATCTCAGGTATCAAAATTAGGGGTCGAACTCTATCGAGCTACAAAAAGGCAGCTTGATCCTAAAAACATTTTTGCGAATGGAAATATAAGTAAACAGAATTTGTGATTTTGCATTTATTGCAATTGCCTGCAAAGATGCTAGTTACTGGTAGTAAGAAGTTAATGGCTAGTCATTAATTGAGCAGCAGAATTTGCAGCTGATGTTTCTTGAAGAATAAAGCATGAAATTGCTGTAATCACGTTAACTATAATAAACTGTTATTTCTGCATTTAATTTGTTCTTATCCATCAGATATATTTTGTATTATTTTCATTGCTTTGCAAGCAACAAGACATGCAGTGTTGTAACAGGCATAGGAGAATTAAAAATTCTCTTTTGTGATTGTAGTACAATAGTATTGGGAATATATAATTTATGAAAAATTGTTTATATTACATCATTCATTGTCAATTTCTAATATAAGAAAAAAAAATGGTAGACAACTGTTATGACAAAAGAAACGTGAACAATGTTCTTGTTATCAAGATATCAGCAACCCTGGACATCAATAATCAGTGTTTTCATTGTTGCATAATATGCATATTGACTTGTTCTCATGTATCATTGTTATATGTGATGAGAATTAGCGCTTAGCAGTATTGTGGCACGATAAACATGGAGAATATGAAAGATGGGTTTTCATACATTTTCATATATTAATAGATTGTTGAAACTTCATTTATTATTATTATTATTATTATTATTATTATTATTTCATGGCTGTATTAGCGATTGGTTTGTGACTGATGGAGAATGTAGAACAGATTGGGGGGTTGATCTTACAAAGCACGTTGTTTACTGTATGCACCTATTTAATATAAAAAAATTGCATTTGCCAACAGAATATATAGGGTCTACCAAAAAGGATTTATTTTTTACATGATAGGCACCAGTGAGTTGTGTATTTTGAAAGTCAATTGGAAAGAACTTTCTAGATTATAATGTGGGAATGATTAAGAAATATACATCATTCTATATGTAGTGGAGGTTGGTGGAGCAGTACGTGGTGTCTTATGGCACAAAGAATTGATAGTACACAGGAAGTCATTGATGCAGTTTCAGTAGAAAGCATTTTAAAAAATTAGCGATTATCTTGGAAGTGGTAACTATAGGTAAGGTGGTTGTTTGAGAGGCTGGTGAAGATAATTTCCATCCCTCTGTATTTTTTGCCTGTTTAACTGGAATTTGGTTCCTAGAATATAGTTGCAGGAGTTGTACATGCTTTTCATAATTTTTACCAATATATTATGTTGACACTGTACAATTCATAACTGATAACTGAATGTGTTTAATTTGTTGATTATTGTAGATGTGTGTGTATATATATAAGTGATAGTATTTTTTATAGTTTCTATTTAATGAAGTCTTTCTGTCACAGTGCTTTATTTCACAATTACCATATTTGCTGACATATAAGACACTTCTTGTAAGTGGTGCTAAAAACTTCATTGCATCTTACACACACCATTATATCCTCCACATTGGAGTGAACAATGATAATGAAATTTTTAGATATTCAAACTATGGTTAACAAGTCATTTGTAAATAAATGCTTTTGTTACAATTGATAAATAACAAATTTTTTGTGTGCTGAACAGCTACTTTACAAGCAGAAGCATAATTCAGAAAAAAATATTTTCTAATTCTTCATTTCTAAACCATTATATATCATATACTGGTGTGTCTTGTATACTGGGAAACATGATACTTTTAAGTTTTGTGATTTGTCACAAGTATTTGCTTATGTAGAGCTTTTTGATATGGCTTATATTTGTATGTAGTAGGTTTGAAGGTATATTAAATACTTGTATTATTTGTGTGTCCAGTATTGTATAGGAGATACCATAAAGAATGTGCTGCCATTAATGTAATTTTGCACTTCACAGAAATGATGTTTTATAGTAATTATACAATATTTTAGTGTGATTCAGAAGTGGATTTCATGTCTGATTTACAGCTTGACCAGTTAGTGTAGTATTTGGTGACTTCTCCTGAAAAGTTACTTGAAATAATAAAGTAGATTAAATTTGATGTTCTCATAATTTTGAATATTAAGATTTATAGCTTTCCCAGATGTGTTGCAATTTTGTTGATGTGTACAAAAATTTTGTGGCAGTTATACATCTGACTGACATTCCAGATGAATGTATTCCTTCTGACAAGGCACTGGATGTCCCAAGATGATGATTTTCCTCAGTACATCTTGTATAGTGTCTTAATATAGATCATGGCCATTTCTGTGTCCTTTCCAATCATTCTTAAAATGTAAATAATAAACCAACTTTAAATAATCTGTGTCTTGTACTTGGTGATATATCTTGCCCGTGACTAGGCAACCATAAGGAAGAACAGACCTTCATGTTTTTTTGTGTGCGCGCATGTGTATTATTGCCACTATGTATGACCCTGACCAAAGCTAACCAAACCCATTTCAATCAAGCTGTGACCATATATGTAGGTGGATTCACAGATGAATGTGAGGTGATTTGAAGACAACAATGTATCCTAACCTATAAGTCTCATCACAGACTCCTGAATGCACAGGTGGATGAATTCTTAAAAAAAAAAAAAAAAATACAAAACTTTTCAAAGTAATAGATAATCTCTGCCATATTAAAGTCATGAAACTTAAAGAAAATTGTAAAAACGTCTCAACATTAAAAATAAAATATTGAATGCCTTGTGTGTGTGGGAGGCCTGTATTGCCGGATGCTCCAATAGTTAACGTACGCACAGCTGCCTGGCGGTGTCCTCAGGCCTCTGCAGCACATCCTGATTTATTATTAATTAATTTTTTATTTATCATTTTTTTTGTGGTCATAAGTCGCATAGTTCATAAGTCGATGACCAAGTGTATTATAAATTTTTGGTAAATATCACAAGGGAAACTACAAATCTTCAAGATTTTCAATATATGGACCCTATCATATTTATGAACACTTTTGAACAATTATAACTAATAAAAGTTTTAAAATTTAAGGGATTTTTAATACTTAAAACATGAAGAAAATTATAAAAGTTTAAAAAATTATTGATAATGTAAAAATAATATTGTGTAATATTGAAAAGACTGGATCACTTGGAAAATTAAGAAAAAATGTTAAGTATAGGAAACTAAAATGTAAATATATTCAGTAACTAAACTGGTATAGTTCTCTGTAGATGTGACATGTTTCAGCCCGTGTGGATATGACCGAGTTTATCTCTACAGGTAGTGACTGTGTGTTCCACTGCGAGTGAACAGCAAGAGATGGGAAACAACTCCGAAAGCCTCCAGGGAAGACTGCATTATGGTATGGGTCTCATGAGTTTCAAAGTGTATTTGTACTAATGTAACATTTGAACTTTCGGCCATTTTTAAGTTTTACTTAGTAGTTCCCTTAAAATGGAGTGAACACAGGGTGACAACTTGCAAATCTGTTAGCTGCTGACTGCAATACTTAGGCAGGAAGATGTCATACAAGAGCATGGAATGTGACAGTGAGACAGTGAGTAATGGACTCAATGCTGGAGTAATGAAACTGTGAGCGAAGATAAGCTAAAAGAGCAGTGAAGAAGCAGAATATGTGAACGAAAATGTTGAGTTGCTATGGAGGAAATATGCTCTCTGCTCCTGGTTTTCGATATGGTATTTACACTGGTATTTACATTTTACTGCATCAGCTGTGGTCTGATGGCTGAAATGTGTTGATTGTGTAAAGTATGATCACTCAGATGCCATCATCCTTGGGCTTAAATATTTGACTTTTGTTGAGTAAGTAATATCTGACACCATGGTGGTTGGTGTATTGATGAATAAGAAATATTACTCTCTGGCCACCAAGTAAGAATCTTTTCTGTTATGTAGGATGATGGTTTCATAATATTAGCTTTGGTAGTTTGAGTTGCATGATGCTGAGTGGACTCTGTTCCAGACCCACTACTTCTCAGAAAATCTGGTAACGCTGGGAATTGAACCTGGACATCTGGATCTGTAGTCAAGAACTCTGACCACTAGACCAGAGAGGCAGTCTTGTTAATGTATTAAGTTGAGGAAAATGTTGCTCAGATATATGTTGAATTGTGCAGTTGCAGAAAGTGAGCCTATTTGTGTTTGGTGTGAGGTGGTTGGTGATGTGTAGTGGTGATTGAGGACACTAGTGACTATGAATTCAGATTCATTAAATTCTTTGAGTGAGCCACTTTGATGATAGTCTTGTATTTGATGTGTAAATGGAATTGTTTTTGTTATGCTGTGAGTGGGGATGCATATTTTGGATCATGTGTTTGGTAGCCTGTCATGCAAGTAATCTACAGTGAAAATAGTTGGATTCCCTTGAGGCTTGAGGCCACAGCCAAGCCATCCAGCTGCACAGTACCCATGCCATTGTGCCTCTGTACTTGACTTTTGTGAGTTTGCATCTCATCTTCAGGCGATTTGTGTCGTTATACCGACATGTCTGATATCCTATGGTTTGGACCACTGGAGCGCTAGTGGTTACTGTACTGATCTGGGTGCAGAAGGTGGTAGTTTAGTATCTCATGATGCCAGCCAAGCACATTGAATGTGAGAGTGAAGCCAATTCTCAAGTCATGTATGTCAGGTATACCTCAGACAATGCACAATGTCTAATGTGACATTGAAGTAATTTCTCAGTCATTTTCACATACTTTTAGAGAATTAGAAAAGTAGGCCTACAGTTTTGGTGTTATAATGCTGTGCATCTAGAAGGAACATGTCTCCATCAGCTGGACAAAAGATTAAAACAAACAAGAAACCATCAGAAGTTGGTGGCAAACTGCCTGCCTTCTGCTTCTGTCGACTTCTTGCTCCCCCACTGTGTTTCTGTGAAACATCATCCGGCTGTCTCAGGACTACATGTCGTTACAACTCAGAAGACTGTACTCTTTTGTAGCACCATGTGAATGTCAAATCCAACTTTAGAGACTCATTAGTCTTGCATTTCTCCACAGTCCTCTGACAAAGGACATATGCCTATAGATATGCTGTTACTGGCACAAGCCATAACAAGAGAGAGACTTTTCCATAGTACTAATTGAGAATTACAAATTGTGAAACCCCTCATTTTGTAATGTTCTCAATACCCCAAAGCGCTATGCTACAAGCCCAAAGATGGGTTCAGTTCCCAATGGGGTAATTGGAATTTCAATTGAGCTGAAATTTCCAGCTACACTATGACCCAGGAGTCGACTCAGTGTCTGACAGAAATGAGTACAAGGAATCTTCCCAGGGGTATAGGCCAGCTGACACGTAAGGCTGACAACCTCACCGCCCTCTGTGAGCCGATTGTCTAGAAAATGCGGGAGTCTCGATGTCTCACAACCCTGTGGGCCTGTACACCCTCTTACAAGGTTAGCTTTACCTTTTTATGCCCATTTGTGTCGTATATATCAGTGCCAAATATGAACACCAGAAGGGAGGGTCAAACCTGAAATTTATCCTATATCTGTATTTTTGAAACAAATCAATATTTAAGAGAAAAATTCGATATACCAAATATTAGTAATGAAAATGAAAGATATTTTTAAAAATATTATTTTATCCTGAAGAGTCGCTTCTGGGATTTTCAGTACAAATAGTCTTGAAGGGCTGAAAAGTAACCTTGAAAAAAAGTTTTGTTTCTGTTTCCCTCTACGCCCTTGAAAACTGGCAGTCCTCTCTGTGGAAAACATCCTGGTGGCCCCACGGTTCCAGATATTCGTAGTTAATCATAACTGCTTTATTAGTTAGTAGGCGGCCGTGAAGTGTGTTATTCTTGACAAGCAGGAGAGTGATACCCTACCACGTGCAAACTAATTGTTGCTTCCGGTGAGCTCCATGCCCCCTGTTAGCTCGCAACACTGCTGTTTGTCATAATTAGCTCCTCGCAGCTGCTTGCGTTTCCGAGGGAAGGGTCTGTCATGTCACTGCCTCCGGCCACAAAAACACCCATAGGGTACCGACGGATTCTGTGTTTTCCTAGGCCTTCTCGGGGTGTCTCAGCTAATTCCATGTTTATTAATTGCAAAGGACTAACATTTCGTTAATCAGATTAGAAAATTCTTTTTCTCAGCTGTCACATATTAGTTTTTATGGTATGTTCTAACTCACAATTGTTGTTACAACTATATTTGAATTTGTCGTGTATTGATTTAAAAATATGGTCTGCATGCGTTTACGTCCATATAAAATATCACACACGCGCGCACGCGTTTCCATTAATGCAGTTAATTCTTTATTTACTTACATGCTTACTTAACAGCCAAGAGGACAGTTATAAAGCAAGCACGAACAAATGTAGGAAACAAGAGATACACACAAAGGATAAAGGCAATGTAGGATCTAAGGTTATCACAGCGATGGTTATAAAGACTTCTGTCTTCTGGGATATAACGTATAGTCCGTTGAAAGTCAACCGACGTTTCAGGGGAACCTATCGCTTCCATCTTCAGGGTCGAAGAATAATCCATGCAAGAAACGAGTGCGAAAGTGGGTGACAAAAAAGCAGAGCGGCTTCGACAGATTACACGGCGTTATATCCTCGAAGGTGGAACTTATATCAGAAGAAGAAGAAGAAATTACAGTTTTCAGTGCATGTAATTTCACATATACTCAAAAGTACAACATAGCGTCGAATTAGGGAGCTTGAGAACAGAGCAGAATGCTATATGGACTAAGAGGGGTGAAGTGACAGGAAGATTGCTAAAATTTCATTAGGAGGCGCTTCATAATTAGCAAACTTCGCCATATAAAGGGACTCGCCGTAGCGTAGTTGGTTGAGGCACTGTGCTATAAGCCGGAAGTTCACGGGTTCGATTTCCAATAAGGTCATTGGACTTTTCAATTGACCTAATCCTTCCAGTCGCACTATGACCCTGGGTTCGGCTCGGCCTCTAACAGAAATGAGTACCAGGAATCTTCCTGGGGGTAAAGGGCGGCCGGCGCGTAAGTCTGACACCACCATCTGTGAGCCGATTGTCTACAAAACGTGGGAACCTCGACGGCCTATTACAGGGCTATCTTTAACTTTTACAGGATATAATTAGGATGATCAAATGTAAGAGGTTCAGACTGATAAGATGTAGGTCTATTTTTTTTATTGCTAGTGTGGTGGGACTAAGTCCTTGTACTGCGGCCACTTCTGGCCTATTGTACCAGCCCCAGATGATAGGTGAGGGTGATTGTGGAGCAATTGGTGGAATGAAGATTGGCAGGGGAAACCGAAGTACTCGGAGAAAACCTACCCCAGCGCCACTTTGTCCACCAGAAATCCCACTTCACCAGACCCGGGATCGAACCCGGGCCGCCGCG